GCCCTCTCCCATCCCACATATTTCTAAATCTGTCTCCATGGCTGTTGTTTTCTTACCTCTAATACTTCTGACATTGTGAGATGTTTCTCTCCCACCCACAGAGGAGCTTTATTGAGCCTGTGTTACCCTGGTAACCAGTTAAATTAAAGGATCTGCAAGCCTAGAAGCACAAAGAATGTGAACTTTTAAGAACAGATACAAGTTTGCTGTACCTTATTGTCACTATAGTAGCTGGGTGGTTTGAGAGGGGAACAAAGTTGTGAAGGTATGTAAAGGCCTCATGTTGCAGTTAGTTCTTAAGAGGGAAATCAAACTGACTCTCTGCTTCTCACTTACTGCAGTAACCTTGGTAACCTCAGAATTTTTTGATTTTCTAGTTCTCGCTTTTCTTTTCACACCACCAGTCAACGTCATACAAACCAATTACCACCTAGCTCTAATGATAAAAATGGCATTTTGCAGAAATATGTTGCTTAACACTGACGAAGGTTGAGAGGGGTGAAACATTCGTCCTCTACTAGAGATAGAATATATTGTTTTTTTATTGAAAACTTCAAATCATTGAGTTTATTTTTATTGGGGTCTGGAGGATGAAAGATCTACCTGGGAGTAGGTATTGATTGTGGTGTTGGGGTAGCAGTGGGGAGAGTGTGGTTGTGCCAGATACGGTCAGGGTCGTCTTTGATCATTGGAGCAGTCAGAGCAGTCAGAGCCTTCATTCACGCAGCCAGACAGGAGGATTGCCCTATTCTTTGTTGTGGTTCTTTTAACCAGTGCACATCCAATAAGTTTGACTACCCACATACATAGGGTGATTTAAACCAATACACATAAACATGCACACACACGGTTAACTCAGGGATTTGCATTTTATTTATGTACAAAGATAATGCGTGAATATTTCTATGGTGGGTGTGATCTGCATTGAACCGTAAGAAATGGATAAGGTAGCACTTCCCACACAGCAATGAAGCTGACTACAGTCTAGACGCGTTGGAAACCCTTCAGATAGGGCGGCAGGTAGACTAGCGGTTAGTGTTGGGCCAGTAACCGAAAGGTTGCTAGGTCGAATCAAGACAAGGTGAATAGTTAGAAGCCGACAAGGTGAAAAATCTGGTGATCTGAACTTGAGCAAGGCACTTAACCCTAATTGCTCCAGGGCTGATCCTTGGCTGTGACCCCACTCTCCGAAGGTGTCTCAGTGGGAGTTGGGATATGCAAAAAACATATTTTCATTACACAACTCACACTCGTACAGGTTACCCACTTGTACATGCAGTGAAACAGGACAAATATAAGCACCCCCTATTTGATCTTTGAGATGGACAGTAAGCGAGGTAAGCTGCATGGGCTGCGTTCAAGTATCAAAGTCAATGTTCATCAAGAGGAAACACTAGGTCCACATGCCCTCTGTTTTCCATAATCTTGCACTGAATCGCATGTAGGCCGATTAGAGGGAAAAACTCCCATACACCGAATGGTGTTCAGTCATTTGGACTGAATAAAGGTCCACATGCTACTGACAAGCTGTCACACATTGCAAATGTATCACTGTTTGTCTTTGGATTGTATTGATTGGTGCTTTCATTGCTATTCTGCCCGCATTGGGTAGCTTAGCAAGCTCCCTCGCTGTACTGAGAGCGGTAGTTAGCGACTGACAGGCAATTTTCCTCTCCATTAGTGGTTGTTTATTTCCATTTACAGCCAAAGCAGAGTCCTAGAGCCCAAATGGGTGTTAGAACATGGGGTATCACAGGATATTCTGTGTGAAGAGCCACTCTGCACAGCCAAACAGAGGAGGGGTAATGAGAAGGTCAGTCAGGTGGGCATTGGTTCAGGTGATCCTCCATTTTGTCATGGACATGGAGTCATTTGTAGCCCTTAAAAACTGATTTGGAGTTGGTTCTTCCAACTCCCTGTGTTCAAATTAAAACCCACACCCTCTCCCAAAAAAATTATAATCTAAATCTAAGAAGTTGTGAGCTGCACCACAAAACTGACTCTGGTACAGTTGCTATGGGTATAAGGGGCCTAAATCCATGGGATCAACGGACTCCTTCATAGTAATCTCAGAGTACTCCGTTGGTGTGACTGTTTAAGCAGAGGGATGGCACTGCTTGATGATGGATAAAGTTTAGGCTTATCTATGATCAATTCTCTGAAGGTTTTTGTTAACTTTACTGGTCAACAGCGCCTCAATTTTATATGCCGAGGGAAAAGCCATTAACATCAAGCAGAACAAATTGTCAGATCATCCATTAGCAGATGAACAAAGAGCGGAGGAGGTTGACTCCCTCTTGTCATTCGGCGGGCTGGGTAATTAAGCCGCTCTGCATAATAATAAAGCCATTACTTTGTATTTACATACACTACCGGTCAAAAGTTTTAGAACACCTACTCATTCAAGGGTTTTTCTTAATTTTTATTATTTTCTACATTGTAGAATAATAGTGAAGACCAAAACTATTAAATCAAAATATATTTTAGATTTTAGATTCTTCAAATAGCCACCCTTTGCCTTGATGACAGCTTTGCACACTCTTGGCATTCTCTCAACCAGCTTCACCTGGAATGCGTTTCCAACAGTCTTGAAGGAGTTCACACATATGCTGAGCACTTGTTGGCTGCTTTTCCTTCACTCTGCGGTCCGACTAATCCCAAACCATCTCAATTTGGTTGAGGTCGGGGGATTGTGGAGGCCAGGTCGTCTGATGCAGCACTCCATCACTCTCCTTCTTGGTAATATAGCCCTTACACAGCCTGGTGGTGTGTTGGGTCATTGTCCTGTTGAAAAACAAATGATAGTCCCACTAAGCCCAAACCAGATAGGATGGCGTATCGCTGCAGAATGCTGTGGTAGCCATGCTGGTTAAAATGTGCCTTGAATTCTAAATAAATCACAGACAGTGTCACAAGCAAAGCACCCCCACACCATAACACCTCCTCCTCCATGCTTTACGGTGGGAAATACACATGCGATCATCCGTTCACCCACACCGCATCTCACAAAGACACGGCGGTTGGAACCAAAAATCTCCAATTTGGATTCCAGACCAAAGGACAAATTTCCACCTGTCTAATGTCCCAAGCAAGCCTCTTCTACTTATTGGTGTCCTTTAGTAGTGGTTTCTTTCCAGCAATTCGACCATGAAGGCCTGATTCACACAGTCTCTTCTGAACAGTTGATGTTGAGATGTGTCTGTGACTTGAACTCTACAAAGCATTTATTTGGGCTGCAATTTCTGAGGCTGGTAACTCTAATGAACTTATCCTCTGCAGCAGAGGTAAGCCTGGGTCTTCCATTCCTGTGTCTGTCCTCATGAGAGCCTGTTTCATCATAGCGCTTAATGGTTTTTGCGACTGCACTGGAAGGAAACTTTCAAAGTTCTTGAAATGTTCCATATTGACTGACCATGTCTTAAAGTAATGATGGACTGTCATTTCTCTTTGCTTATTTGAGCTGTTCTTGCCAAAGTATGGACTTGGTCTTTTACAAAATAGGCCTATCTTCTGTATACCACCCTTACCTTGTCACAACACAACTGATTGGCTCAAACGCATTAAGGAGGAAAGAAATTCCACAAATGATCTTTTAAGAAGGCACATCTGTTAATTGAAATGCATTCCAGGTGACTACCTCATGAAGCTGGTTGAGAGAATGCCAAGAGTGTGCAAAGCTGTCATCAAGGCAAAGGGTGGCTATTTGAAGAATCTCAAATATAAAACATATTCTGATTTGTTTAACACTTTTTTGGTTACTACATGATTCCATATGTGTTATTTCATAGATTTGATGTCTTCACTATTATTCTACAATGTAGAAAATAGTAAAAAACTAAGAAAAACCCTTGAATGAGTAGGTGTTCTAAAACTTTTGACCGTAGTGTACATCAAATTGTATCAACATCAGGAATTACATAAGTGAAAGTTACCACAGAGCTAGTTTACAACTTTGATGCGGACTGTGATGATCTATTTTAACTAGTGTTTTACATAAGGCCAGATTCGATCAGATCAGCCATAGCAATGTTAATGCAGCAGACCTGTCTGAATCAGAAAACTGGAAATATCAACCTGGGCTTGGGATCTGTTTGGTAGCTTTACAGTTCTGAAAATGTTGGCAGAGAGAGAGAATCTGGTTAAGTTATGCTAGAGGCGGCATGTTTCTAAGATTCAAACACCACCATGAATGAAGCGTTTTGTTTTGCAAGCAGATGCCTTGGTAATAAGAATCACTTGGTTAGAACTAATGCAGACCACTCTACAGCAGTGTAGAAAGACAACATCATCTAAAAAGAAGGCAAAGAAAGAGATCTATACACACACTTTCAAAGTGAAGAATAGTTATATAAAATGTCTACCTAACCAAGCCGTACTGTTACGTGTCCACTATAGTTTCTGGAACCATGCTATGAATGACAATGTGAAAATATCTGAGCCAGCACAGTACATACAGTTCAGATGGTGTGAAAAAAAGGGTATACTATTCCTCATTAATTGGTACTGGTTTCTCTGATGTTGTATCTTAGCAGAGAGTGACACCTTGTGTACAACAGTGGGACTAAAATTTCATATTTCACTCAAAAAAAAAAAAAAAAATATATATATATATATATATATATATATATATATAGTCATTTAGCAGACGCTCTTATCCAGAGCGACTTACAGTTAGTGAGTGCACAAGTTTTTTTAACTGGCCCCCCGTGGGAATCGAACCCACAATCCTGGCGTTGCAAGCACCATGCTCTACCAACTGAGCTACAGGAGGCCCTTAATTCCTATGAAGGCAACACTACATTATTTGCCTGAATGTAACTCAGTATTTGTACTAGACTATACACTGCCCCTAGACATAAAGTGGCAGGAATTTCCCCCTCAATCTGACTCCTGGGTATACAACTTTGAAAAACAAATGACATTTCTTAACAAGAATCATCTTTATTGACACGATAAAACTAAATAATTTATGAAAAAATTGACTCAGTAACTTTAAGTCCAGTATTTGGGGAAAATGTACTTCCAATAAAATGAAAACATACTGTTCTACCAAACCACAAGAGGAAAAAGTAAAAGGAACGACTGAAGATGTTTGAAAAGGCAACATGAAGCCATGAGATCAAACGCTTGCCGTATAATATGGCCAAGAATGACATTCAGGATAGAAATACAAAAGACAGTATAATGAATGTATATCAATGTGGTGGCGACTTGGCAAGTATAACAGACTGCCATGTAAACAAATCTATGAAATGTTCAAAGCTACAAGTGACATAGAATGTCAGTGAAAAGATAGTGTTGTTTCCCTGTTAAATGCCAATTGAGGCATATGCTGTCTAAATGGCTCAAAGTGACAAGTCTCTATAACCCAAAGTGGCTTTACTTGATAACTCCTTTTTCCATCTGAGCTGGTCTAAGCATTTTGCTTTCCTCCATCCCGTATCTAGATTGTGCAGATGGAAGAAGGAAGATGAGTCGAGAAGGCAGATGAGTCGAGAAGTGTTTAGTGTGAAGACGCATCCTTGAGTTGTAGCTGAGTGGTTGGATGCTAGAATGTGATGAACAAGTTCCCTTGACAATGCAGTGACCCAATAAATGTTTGAGACTAATACGGCAAAGGGTCTGACCTCATAATATAAAATCGGTAACAGTGGTGTATGAGAATTCATGGCATCTTTAACATATCAGCTGAGGGGGCATTTACAGTTAGCCTTCATATTACCCTAATTGACTGTAAACAAGCTGAAAAACAGCCAATGACAGTTAATGTCTATGGAGGAAAGGGTTATGAATGCCAGCAAGTCTCATGCACTTTAATGCTTGGGTAGTTGTTATGGTAGCCTTAAACCATAGCCCCTCAACTGAAGTGCTGACAATCTCCCTGGCACTTTGTCTTGCTGGTTATAGCCTACCAAAAACTCTAGGTCCATTCACCATTTGGAGGTCTGGAATTCAGACTTCACTCCATTCTCCATTATTGGTCCTTTATGCTGAGTACTGGGTCCACCAGTCGGTTGTGAACATGCATCAAACCTGGAAGGGAATGAACAATTAATGGGAAACATGTTAAGTGGGTAATACTTAACTGTCCAGTATCAAATGAAGTGCACCACCATTTGTTGTAACCAATTTCCTTTATAGTAACTCCTATCTCATGCTCACCTTTGAAGTACTTGACCGTTTTGACTCTGAGCTCCAGTGTGGCATCCTCGTCACACACAAAGATGGTGTGCGGGTGCTGCTGGAAGGCTGAGACGGTCCACATGTGGTTAACCCCCTCCTCTATGGCTTTGTACAGGGCAAAGGCTTTGTGGGCTCCTGTGATAAGAATCATGACCTGAAACAAACAACAAACATAATTAATTTAATATCATTATCAAGGAAACATCTAAAAGAACATTCAACACTACCTCTCTACAATTGCAATAGTCATCATTTCTAAAGAAAACTACTACTAGGTTAATAAAGTTTTTTTTGTGTCTACATAATGAAACAATATCTGTGCTATGAAAATATATGACAGACAAATAGATAAAATAATATAATGTTAAGACCTCTTCTTTACCTCTCGAGCATCCATGACTGTCCCCACACCCACAGTCAAGGCCATGGTGGGGACCTTTGACAAGTTGTTGCCAAAGAAACGGGCGTTGGCTACGATGGTGTCCTTCGCCAGGGTTTTCACTCTGGTCCTGGAGACTAGACTGGAGCCTGGCTCATTGAAAGCAATGTGACCGTCCGGTCCGATTCCTTGAGTACAATAACAGAGAGAGAGAATTACTCACTTACTTAAGCTCTCGGGCTCCTTTAATAAACACAGACCATTGACAAATTGATAAATGACCAGGGGCCAGCTGCATTAACATAAAGGACAGATAACCCTTTAGACCTGAGACTTTGGTCCCAAATGTAATCAATAGCAGATAAAGGAAAAACACACTGCGGGTCGGCTCAGAATGTTTATGCTGCATTTGAGGTGTTAAAACACATTAAAACCAATTTATGCCACAAGCATGTATGTAAGTATAAAAACTGACCCCCCACAAACAGGTCGATTCCCCCAGCCTGGGCGATCTTCTTCTCAAAGGCCTCACACTCTGCTTCTAGGTCGGTGACATTGCCATCCAGGATATGGGCATTCGCTGGATCAATGTCAATGTGCTTGAAGAAGTTGTTCCACATGTAGGAGTGGTAGCTCTCTGGGTGGGCCCGGGGCAGGCCTGTGGTGAATAAGTTATTTTAAAACGTTATACCGAGTGTTCTTTTCTTACTTACTCTTTATTGAATAATTGTTAAAGCTGTTGCACTGTTTGAGAGGATAGCTTGCAAGTAAGCATTTCTTTGTACTGTGTCCTGTGCATATGACAAATAAACCTTGATTTGATAAGAAAGACAGGTTATAGCAAGACATTTTCTAATAATTCCCTATCAAAAGGAAGTATGAAGGCATATTCAAGAAGATGAATCAGTGGGCAGGGTGGAGAATGTTTCCACTGAATTGCCTGCACCTTACCAATTAGCTAGATGAGGAAGGAATCATAACTTGTTTCTTTTGTAGTTAGCTTGATGTGAGCATTATTGCTTTTAAATACTAAAGCAAAAACAAATGCTGGTTTCATCATTCTGCTATTGAAATCTAGCTGGGTCAGCTAAATTCCCAGGAGTGGCCAGAGCCACCTCCCACTTCCTCAGGTTCTAAATGAGCTGAGTGGGCAGATTCTTTCTTCCTGCAAGGCTACACCACTGATTCTACATCCCTACTTCTATTACACTCCAACAACATAAAGGGTCAGTTTAATAATTTACCCTTCACTGTTACTAAGGGTTTGGCTTGGACTAAGAACATCTGGTCCTATATCTGTGGTTGGGAGTGTAATTTGTACCTGTAGGCTCAAACTCACCCACATACTCGTCCATGTTGAAGGTCTTCACATATTTGAAAGAGAGGTCCCCATTCTTGTGATACTCTATCAGTGTTTTATAACATCCAAAAGGAGTGCTTCCTAAAAGAGAGGGACATGGATGATACTTAGCTACATACCTACAACATGACATACAAACTAACATTTAGTACCTGGCAAGTTACAGTAGTTACCAGATACATTTATTGTATCTGTAAATCAACAAAAGTTTACCTGTGGGTAATCCCAAAGTGAAGTATCTGTCGGCACTAGGCTTGAACTGGATGATTCTGTTGCGGATGTATTTGGCTGCCCATTCACTGGCCAGGTCATAGTCTTCCAGGATCACCAGTCTCATTTTGGAGGTGTTGAATGGAGAGATCTAACAGTGACCAATAAGGCTGACAGCTATTGTGAGCAAGCTCATTTGCTAATTGATATAGCTAGTTAGCTAGCTATCCAAATCATAACTAAAATGTAATCTTCACAGTTGGATAAGCATCTGTGCTAACTAGCTAGCTAACCTTAGCTTGGCTTGTATGAGCTAGTAGCTAGCCAGAACAAAACATTAGCTACGTCTTGCTATAATCAGCAGCATGTGCTGGCATTCATTTTAAAAAAATACACCCGAAATCACACTTTATGAACCTGAAGAACTTGTAAAACACTGAAGTAAAATAGGTCTCACCCGCTTGGTCTCCTTCTTCAGTGGTGTTTAATGGCGGTTGGCATCCAATATTAACGTTGCATTACCGCCACCAACTGGACTGGAGAATAAATTATTCTTCTTCTTCTTCTTCTTCTTCTTCTTCTTCTTCTTCTTCTTCTTCTTCTTCTGTTCTTCTTCTTCTGTGGGTTTTATGGCGGATTACATCCAAAATTTGTATTTCTGCCACAAACTGGACGGTTTGAAACCACAAAATATATAAAATAAAAAAATTAATCCATACTTAATAGTGATACTAATTTACTTCACCCTAATAAAATTAGTACATTGCCAAAACAAACAAAACTACCATTTCTTCCTTCTTTTAGTTCTCCATATCTCTCTTCTCAGGCTCTAGTACCTGATAGAGTGATACGGCTTTTGCCAATATTCCATGTAACAAAAGAAAATCCATATATAATAGGGAAACTAACTAAATCCACCCAAATAAAATATTAGATTGACAAAACTCCCATTCATTCCTTCTTTTAAATCTCCATATCTCCCTTCTCAGTCTCTAAGGCCTGAGATGGTGGTACGGCTTTTGACAATATTCCATGTAACTCTTTTGCCGAGAAATCTTTCATCCCCAGGAACCGTTCCGCCGCAACCACAATGATTTCTATCTTCCTAGATATTTTCTCCACCTTGGCAGTGCCATTAATCACCATTGTGATAAAGGCCACAAAGTCCACCTTTTTAACCATTAAAATGTCAGGATCATCTTGGTGAAAGGAAACCCCTGCAGCTTGCATTGAAGGCCTATCCACCACCATGGACTCTTCAGGAGCACCATTCAAACCCTCAGCCCTTTTAACCGCTGCTACATATGAAATGCTCTGTACAACCCTAACTTTGGCCAGCTAATTTTCTTTCACCCTTGTCGGGCATTCAAAAGACGTGGCTTCATGGTTCCCACCACAATTGCAACATTTCACTTTTTCATCACTTTTATAGCACATTAAATTATATTTTCCACAACTTGGACATCTCGGTGTCTCCCTTCTGCAAACCCTTGACACATGACCAAAAGCTTTACAGTGATCACACTGCATTGGTCTTGGGCTAAATGCTATGAATTTGTAGTTTATATACCCCCAACTGTACTTGAATAGGGAGAGACTCCATATCAAAAAACAAAAGAACAGGTAAACCACTTGATTCATCCGACGTGCATCAATCACTCAAGGAATATTTTTCATCTCTTTAACATCGACTTCCCACGAGACGCCAGATATTACCCCCTTGAGGGGTGCTCTGTTCCAAAGAGACACACACGACACGTCAAACTTTTCAAATCGGGAGAGCCGCAACACACGTTCCTTCTGATCCGCAGAAGTACAAAAAATCTAAACAAACCCGCCTCTCGTGATCCTCACATCCTTCACTTTACCCATCACTTTCTCCACCAGTTTGGATAGCTCAAATGGATTCTTCAAGATTGGTACTTCGATAAGCTGCTCCTCATTAACAAACCTTACTCCTACAAGATATAAAGGGACGTTCTCCGCACTCTACCCTACTTTGCTCCTTTTTCCATTATTTTGAACAATACTCCAATCCTACTTGATTCTACCGCCATTAGATACACAATTCCCTTCATCGTCCACCTCCGCCATCTTTTCGAATCTGTCGTACCCTCAACTGTCACACCCACTGCCGCTCTCAGCGGCTCGACCTGGAGTTATACAATAATGGCAAAAGGTAAAATAAAAAAGTTACCCTGCCACCTAACCCTACACTCATTAAAAACATAACCCCCATCTCACTATTTTGACCCTATCTGATCCTACACCCACAACCTGGGAGGAAGGGACACTACCATTCAACACAACCTGTAACTCTTCTGCAGTCTAACTAAATCGCTCTGGATAAGAGCGTCTGCTAAATGACTAAAATGTCAATGTAAATCTCATAATCCCAAGTACTTCTATACAGCTGCCACCACAACTCATATTTCCTGTGACTTACTCCTATTTCCTGTGACTTACGTTCCATTCCTGTGGTACAGTTGATAACCATGACAATGAACGCTACAAAGCCAACCTTACTGAAGCACATTTCATTCGTAGGCCTATCACTGTGCTGGCAAAAGTCTACTACTCACCGGAAGACTCTTAGGATCCCTCACCCTTGACCCATCTTCCTCTACTTTCTTCACTGCCTCAGCATACGACACCTGTACAACTCTGACTCTGGTAACCTCAACCTGCCTCTCTCGCACCAGACACTTCTGATCCCCAGCAACACATACCGCTTCTTTCACCGATACTACATATTCCTTTGTCACATGCCCTCCTGCACACTTCTCACATCTAAGAATTCCCTCCTACACACTGCTGCAACATGACCATAAGCTTGGCATCTGTGGTCCACCCACACAGACAGTGTGGTGAAGAAGGTGTAAGAGCACCTCTTCAACCTCAGGAGGCTGAAGAAATTTGGCTTGGCCCCTAAGACCCTCACAAACTTTTACAGATGCACAATTGAGAGCATCCTGTCGGGCTGTATCACCGCCTGATACGGCAACTGCACCGCCCGCAACCGCAGGACTCTCCAGAGGGTGGTACAGTCTACCCAACGCATCACCGGGGGCACACTGCCTGCCCTCCAGGACACCTACAGCACCCGATGTCACAGGAAGGCCAAAAAGATAATCAAGGACATCAACCACCCGAGCCACGGCCTGTTCACCCCGCTATCATCCAGACGGCGAGGTCAGTACCGGCAGGGTTGGGTAGGTTACTTTATAAATGTAATCCGTTACAGTTACTAGTTACCTGTCCAAAATTGTCATCAGTAACGTCACTTTTGGATTACCCAAACACAGTAACGTAATCTGATTAGATTCTGTTACTTTTAGATTACTTTCCCCTTAAGAGGCATTAGAAGAAGACAAAAATGTATGTTACCAATTGAACGACATCTATTGCAGGATAAATCAATGTTAAAGTTTACATAGCTGGCCATATATGGATGTTACATTTTAATTTATGGATTGGTAATGTAGGCTTCTTCTAACCCATCGCTTTCTATTACATATAATATGATTAAATGATATCTTTACATTAAAAACCAAAGTCTATCAGAATTCCAGTAATTCCAATAAACGTTATACCCCTTGATCATCAAGAATAGGACTTGTAAATATGGAAGTATAGATTAGCCTAATTGTTTTACCTGAGCAAAACCCCAAACCTAAGGACTTATTAGCCAGCCCTACTCTGTTGCTTATGATTTTGTTGTAATGGAGGACTGATTGGGCTGATTGATTTGAAAAATAAATGCTGCGCTCATGGAATGGAATGCTTTGAGCACTACTGAAAAGTGCTATTTACATGTGTTACCTTTTTGTTGGTGACACTTTGATGAAGGGCAAATCCACAGACAATAACAATAAATAAACAATAACAAAACGGTTGCCCCGCCTCTGTTTTGGTAAAAAGCTGAGGGATGGGCCTGGAGAAATGTAACCACTCTCAGATTAATAGACAAGCTATATGGATGCAAGGACTGACCATCCATGATATCAAAATTATTGTTTTAACCATGTTATGAGGCTATATATTGTTTGTTTACATTTACAATGTTTACAAACATTGGAGAAGAACAAGCTTATATTTTGGGTTCTCATGGAGTTGGCCACTTCAATAATGGAACACTAGTCACTTTAATAATGTTTACATACTGCGTTACTCATCTCATATGTATATACTGTATTCTATTCTACTGTATTTAATCAATGCCACTCCGACATTGCTCGTCCTAATATTTATATCTCTTAATTCCATTCTTTTACTTTTAGATTTGTGTATTGTTGTGAATTGTTAGATATTACTGCACTGTTGGAGCTAGGAACACAAGCATTTCGCTACACCCGCAATAACATCTGCTAAATATGTGTATGTGACCAATACATTTGATTTGATTTGATTTGAAACACTGTAGTGGATTCGGCACAAAAGCTCTTACGGGATAACTGATATATCGTAACATTACTTTGCCGGGCAACAACTGAGCATCAAAACACAACAGGACTGACAGTAACTGTTCTGTTTCACCACTCTAGCCACCAGGTCTGCGGCGGGCGTCACAGACACTGGGAATATTCAACTTCAGTTGATCCACCTCCACCCTTACTGCTACCCCAGTAATTACTCATTTCAATGGTGCCCTGTTCCTGAGAGCAAAGCAAGTAACAGGTCTTGTACCCATTTCCGTGGCGTGGAGCGCCCGCTCCCTCTGGGCGGAATTAACACCAGAAATCATCACAAGTCCACTTCGGGTTACCTTCACCGATTTAATAGTACCCTTCTCCCTTTTCACCCAACCTGAAACCCCATATGGGTCAGCCAAAAGGCAGGGGTCCACTTTCTCCAAAAATCTCACTCCTACTGGACCAGATTAATCTCTATCATGACCATCAGTGTGAGGCTCAGGCTTCGAGGCCATCAACACACCTGCCACCTCAGGTAATTCATCTTCTTTCTCTTCCATATCACCTCCTTGCACTCGGTCTGGAGTACAGCTCATTCTGTTTGTACTTGACACCAATCTTCCTCGATACACCGTCTCCTTCGTTGTTGCTATCTTCATCGGATTACATTTTATCACTTTCCTTATCGTCAAAGATAAATACATTGTTTTAAAAA